CCGCCACGGGGGGCCGGGCCCCCTGCCTGTCACTGCCCCCCTCCGGGGGGGGAGGCGGCTACCGGGGCGGGGGGGCACGGGGCCGCCGGGCCCACCCTCGTTTACGAATTAATTCATTAACGGGAGCCGCTGGGACTCCCCCTCCACAACTGCCCCCGCGGCCCGGCGCACGGGTCCGCGTTCTTCCGAGCTGGGATTAGTAACATCACCTGATCCACGTATTCATTAATAACGTGAATAATTAACGGTGGGGACGGTGATCCCAGGTAACCAGGGCATCTGCTCCACCAGCTGGAGCAAGCCCAGCTAGGCACTGCACCCCTACAGAGGAGGGTGAGCAGCAAGGTGATTAATGCTCATTAATTATCCTTGAGCAGGGTCAGGAGCGCCTGTCACCCACGAAGTGACAGCAGGGGTCATCTGGTGCTGCACAGCAGTTTTCAACACTCCCAAATTCCTGGGCCACGTAAAAGAAAGGGTCTCCCCCATATAAGAGCCGGCCCCGCTGCAGTGGATTTAAGGCTGGCTTTTCACCGGGACCCTTCGATGCAGTCCATTCCCCCTTCCAGGGCTACACAGAGCAGGGGCTGAAAAGTGCTTGCACTTCACACGTGTGTGTACGTATATACAAGCTCACCGCCACGAAAGAACAGTTCATAATAACTGAGTCATTGTTGCCATCCACAGGAGCCTGGAGTACTGACAACGCAGAAGGATTCTGGTCCAAAATGGCAAAGTAGCCCTCCACAGACAGTGGAGCAGGGAAATATGAGTCTAGTGTTGTGTTATTCTTTCTTATAGTACTTTCCACTCTACAGAAGCCCGAAATGCTTGGGAAAACTCCTCGTTCAAAATTAAAAAATAGATAAATTATAAGAAGTTCATCATCTGCCTAGAATGCTTTGAACAGGTATCGCTTACCCACCACAGTCTACATCTCCTTTTGCACAGTGGAGTAGGAAAATAAATTTCAGCATATAATGAGGTTACCATAGCATAGAGGCCTTTAGACAGTACTTGCATCCTGTTCCAGAAGGTCATCTTGTCTGTGTAATCTCAAGCACTCAAATATTCATACAACTAAATCACCAACTCTGGAAGCCTTGTATTTGAGAGGTTCAAAACTGCTGGCCGAGGAACTGTCTGGTCCATTTACACCGAGTTTCAATACACCCTGGAAGCCAGGGAAGTTCCAGAATTTATAATGAGTGAATCAGGTGGCCCAAGTAATTAAAAATTTCTCAACCTAAGCTTGAGCTCAGGTGAAATAACAGCACATCTGGTACAGGACTTAAGTAGCCAATTGAAAGGAAGGTAAAATAACACATTTTGCTTAATATGAGATTATGGAAACTTGGTGTGAATGCAGTTTTATATCAACTTAATATCTTTTTGATGACATTAAACATACCTCTTTTGTAATAGACTTTGGCAACATCTGAAACATTAAATTTATTAAAAACTGAATGACTTCTCCGTCTTAAATTGTTATTGTAAAGACAGGTTTATTATCAAGTTGGTCTTTCTCTAATGGGATCCCACAGAGACAGCTTATGGACTCTACATTATTTAATATTTTTACTAGCAACCTGAAAAAAAATCTGAAATCATTAGCAGCAAAGCTTTGTAGAAGGTGCGAGAGGCAAAGGATGCTTATGGCTGCATAACCCTATGTTAAGTTTAGGCATGATCAAATCGTATGTATTTCAATCAAGCCAAATGTAAAGTCTCACATCTAAGAACAAAGAATGTAGGTCACATTGAAAGGGTGTAACTCTATCCTGCAAAGCTGCAATTCCGTAAAGACTTCATTAAGATGAATAATCAGCTGAACGTGAGCTCCTTCTGCAGTGCTGTGACCAAAGGGCTAGTGCTGTCCTGGGAAACAAACAAGAGCCGGGAGGTTCTTTTACCTCTGTTTTTGACTCTATTGTGACTGCTTTGGAAATAATTTGTCGAGCCAACGTTTCAAGAAGGATGTTGAAAAACTAGAGGGGTTTCAAAGAAGAGTAGTAAGAATGATTACAGGACTGTCAAACATGTTTTATAGTGAGACCCAAAGTGCTCAGTCTATTTAGCTTTCTAAAGAGAAGGTTAAGGTGCGAGGTGATCATACCTTACGAGCACTGAAACAGGAAGAAAAATCTGGTAATACCAGGGTCTTCTATTTAGCAGACAAAGAGATAAGATCTCTTGACAGAAGGTGATGGGGAAACAAATTCATAAATAAAGCGTGCTTTTGTAGTGAAGAAAATTAATTGTTGAAACAGCTTATCAAGATTTATGGTAGATTCACCATTACTGGATTTTTTAAAAAAACAGTATCAAGTAGGGATTTTTTCCCTAGAGAGAGAGCCTGGCTAGACCACAACTACTAAAACTTAAACCAGGAATTGACCTGGCTAGTCCTAACTCAGGATATCAGACTAAGACAGTCAAAGGGGTCCCTTCTGGTCTTAGGCTGTGTTGCTCCACGGAGGCTACATCTGCGTGCTCCATGTCTCCCTGCACTATGTGATGCCCCTATTCCATTGTACGATAGTCTCCAGCCTTTGGCCGTGCCACTTTACCAAGGAAACTACTTGGTGCAGTCCAGAAGGAGCCTGGGTGCAAAGTAACACGTGCAGTGTGACCCTCTGGGATACCAGGACCAAGGTATGGACAAGTGCATCTGTAGGAGCGGGGCCTTAGTGCTCTCCAATTTGTGACCCAAGGTATAAACAACTATGAAATGTTTGGCTAAGATGAAACATATATTTGCATGCAGTAATCATGGAGAGGGTCAAATATGCTCCAGAGAGGAGACACTGAGTAATACAAAGAAAAATTTATGATATGTTGCTCCTAAATGTAGTATTGATTTCTAGTATGGATAATTGCCTTACAACGTAGTAACAGTAATTATTCTTTGTCCAAAATGTAGATATCATCCGTTATTTTCTTTGGTTTTTTAAGAGAAATGGACCTGCAACTGCATACACTTGTTCTCAGGCACGGTTTCAGCTACTGTGACTGCTGTGGAGCTGTCAAAGCTGTGCATCACAGGCTAAGAACCCACTGGCACTAGTCTTCCCAGCAATGCCGAAGTAAGTGTGTACGTAGGTGTCTGCAGGAGTGAGAACCAAGGAAGATTCTGAACCATTACTAAAACTGTATGTGTAGCATGACTATTTCCATTACGTTGTTCATACTCTAATAAAGGACTCGGTGCAGGTGCTCAGTGCGGTATAATCCTAAAGTCAATAATGCACCTTCACAAATCTTACAGTCAAAGATCCCAGTCCTTTCATGGCCCATGACCACTCTGAACCTCTAGAAAATGGGGTAGGGTTCAGTGCTGATATAGCAGACCATTCCAGCATCATGGCTTGCAGGGTTTGTAAGCTAAAAATTGGGGGGCTTATACCTGTAAAGCTTGTGCTTTAACAGTGTAAGTCAATGAAATCCAGCTCGGAAGAAACACCATTTCAATACCTGCCTGTCAATTTTTTTTTTTTTTTTTTTTGCTGTCTTCAAGGGGTTTTTTTTTTTGCAGTGCCCTCAAAAACA